CCCCCAAAAAAAAAAATGTCAAGTTGCAATTACAGGGTGGAGGGGGGGGGCCTTGATTATGAGGGGAGGGGATGGCCAAAAACAAGTTCTTGAGCCAGGCGGCAAGTAGGCCCAGGTCCTGCCAGACGCGTACCATTTGAAGGCTCATGGGTGGCTTTTGTTGTAGACTTGAGATACTAAACCCTAAACCCTAAACCCCTAAACCCTAAACCGCGTTTAGGGTTTAGGGCTAAAAATGACAACAACAAGGAAGCCATTCGGGACGTTTCGGGACAACATCTCGAAATGCTGGACACTACTACTGCCAGTAATCCGACCACCACTTATACTACTCCTGCTCCAGTTGGGTTGAGGGTATGTTTCGAGCATTTTTCGGAGTATGTTTCGAGAGTATGCTTGGGAGGTATGTTGTTGATTTGGGCTGCATGTTTCAGGGCATGTTTCGTGCAACAAAACTTCTGCTTCCCTGTCAAGCTGGACCCCTCTACAATTTAACAAAACACAAGAACTACCCATCTCTAGCGCCGCCAATCCCAACAACGATCTGCACAAGAGAAGAATCACATGATCAGCAACGGACACCAGTCAGGATACCAGTCAGTCAGTCAGTCAGTCAGTCAGTCAGTCAGTCAGTCAGTCAGTCAGTCATACGCCAGGCGGCGCGTGGACAGAAAAGAAACGGCAAACCTTGTCACGCCAAACTCGGGGATTCTGTACAAGTCTGACTAGCTCACAGTGACCGTTCACAATTTGGAAGGCTTTGTTCCTAACCTCGGTAACCCGTTCAGTCAGGATACCAAGGGCATGACAATTACACTGATTCTGATAATCTCCTCCCCTATGTTGAAACACGCACGCCGCTGATATTACCTGCTTCCCACTTCTACTACTAGAAGCCCATTAAGGGGACTACTAAGAATCTTTGGGTATATTATAATACGATCCCCATATACCCCATATTCTCTTTACTTAAGGGGTACCTTAAACCCTAAACCCTACAGTACTCCGTAAACCCTCTACCCCATAACCCTAAGCCCTTAACCCTAAACCCTGGACCGTGTCCTTCATCTCTTGGACCAGCCTTCGTGCACGGCCCAGGTCTCCGGCTTTCACGCAAACATCCAAGACGCAATTGAAAGCGATGGCATCTGGCTTGACCTCCGATGCAGTTTAGGGCTGAGGGTTGAGGGTTGAGGGTTTAGAGCTTAGGGCTTAGGGTTTGGGGTTGAAGGTTTAGGGCTTAAATGAGCAAGATCATAGAAGACCACAGGAACCAAAGCCAGGATATTCAGGAATCCCGCTACACCACCCCCCCTTCCCATGATTCTGCCAGAAAATGGAAATCAAATGGAAACTGGGATTTGAAGGTTCCAAGGCCCACATGAATTTTCGCTGCTGCTTTTGGTATCCAAGACTAGAAGCACATGCATGGATTGCATTCAGCATCAGCATGATCAGGTGGCTGCCTGGGTGGGAACTGCAGGGCCTCCTTTTTGCTTTTGTCGCTCGACTTCTCGCTGGTCTGTGGCTTTTTAAGCACAAAGCCTTGAGGTTCAGAGCACAGTCACTACCTGCGGGAAGCTCGTCCAACAGGAACAGGCGTGCCACTTCGGCCATGGAATCGATCACCGAGCTGAGACTCAGTTTTACCTTCTTGGCCTTTGCGTTGCCCAAGCCGGGCCAGGATGTCGTTGGCATCACAGGCGCCGAGGCCACCGAGCCCAATTGGCCTGCTTGGCCTCTTGCCTTCGCGAGCTCCAACTTTGCTGCCCAGCTTCTTCGCCCGTTCTTTCTGCAAGACCATCTACCCATGCCCTGTCAGACTTCACAGGCAAAGCTCTGTCTCTAGGTCGCATCGCGGCGTGAGCAAGCTCCGGTTCTCTCGTCCCAGGTTGGCAAGCTCCAGGTTCGGGGCAATCTGTGTGCCTCGCAGGTATAACCAGGGGCTGGTCTGGGACAGCTGCTAACGGGGCTGCCGCATCCTCACACCTTCTGTGTGAAGCAACTGAGGCTGTTTTGAGGCTACTGGTGGGCACTGACTCCGGTACCTCGATGGCAGGCAGAGTTGCAGTCTCAACCGCAGTGTTGAAAGCATACATGCCTTCGAGATCAGAGTTAGAGGAGGAGTCTGTCTCGGATTGGGCCCCAATGTCAAAGCCCAAAGCGCTGGTTGTCTGTCTTTGCAGCTCTTGAGCGGGCTGCCCAGTATATCCGGCAGTCAGTCGGCAGCTGGGGCCTGCTGTATGCGACGCATGCGATGTGCATGCTGGCGCAATGCCGCTCTTGCCGAGCCACTTCTTCACCAGGTCAGCTCGCGATGACATTCAGCCCATGCTGCAGTCTGACTGGCAACACCGCAACTGTCTGTCTAAGTGTACATCTCTAGATATCTAGCTTGCGGGTTATGAAGGTGACGGCCACACCAGAGAGTGAGAAAGCATGTACATACTGATGATGAGTGGGCGGCAATACTAGCCGAAGCTTGGTCTGAAAACAGCTGCGCAGCAAGGCACATGTGAGATGCACAGCCAGCAAGCAAGCCAGCAAGCCAGCAAGCATAACTACATTTGATGTGCTTCAAATTGCGCCCAGATGCGTTGTTCTCGCGAAGACGTTGGATGATGGAGAAGGCACGGTCAACGTCGCGGTCGCGGCCCGCTGCTTTGATCAAGGACATGTAGTTCCTGGGTTGCGAGGGGACTAAGGCGTCTAAGCGGGCCATCCCCAAAGGGTTTAGGGTTTAGGGTGGAGGCACACAATACTTCAAAAATGAAGTTATCTTGATAAGGAAATCCTATTGTTTATCACATGTCCATATTATGGTAACTTGATTTGAATTCCTTAACAGCAGCCCAGCTATGGGGCCCCAGACTTGTCAACTATCCGAGCGTCTGGATGTCCAAAACCGAGAGCTTCTCGGAGAGCTCCTGCGAGAGCTGGGTGCGGCCACACTCCACGGAGAACTTCATCAGGCAGCCATACATCCTGGGTTTAGGGTTTGGGGTTTAGGGTCTAGAGTTTAGGGATAGTACCCCCCAATAATGGAGAAAAAAAATTATAAGAAAATGGAAAATGAAATGGAAACAGGGTTTAAGGGTTTAGGGTTGCTGCTGCGGAACTTGTGCTAAGCTACTATACTCAGGAAACCCTGCCAATCCCTGCTAGTTACTACATACCCACATTCTGGTCACTTAACTCCTAAACCCTATATACCCTCTATACCCATGGTAACTTAATCTAAGTTTAAGTTGTTTAACAGCAACCCAGCATCATGGTGTCTGGCTCCAGGCCATCTTGGCGAATCTGATCGTAAAGGTCACAGGCCTTGCCGTACATCCCGGAGTAGGCATATACCTTCATCAGCCCGCTGTACACGGCGATGCTCATCCCCGGCCCAGCACGCACGAACCGCACGATCTCCTCTGCAAAGCTCAGGAATTTGCCATCTGCACAGCGGGCAAGAAGTCCAACGCAAAGCCCTTCACTGATGGTGTGACCTTCAGCCTGCATTTCTTTGAAGATCTCGATGGCGTGAACATCACAATCTTCAGCGTAAGCTTTGAGCAGCGCATCGAATGCATGCACTCCGAAGGAGACCTTTGACTCGCGAGCTGCCTTCTCCACCTCCCGGGCCAGCTTCGCATCATGGTTGCGGACACAGTCTTCGAGGATCACTGTGACCGCTTCGGTCCCCAGAGACACGCCATGCTCAATCAGCTTCCTGGGTTGCTGTTAAGGAACTTAATTTAAGTTGCTATATTGGGGAAACCCCATTATTCGTATAATTTGTGTATTATCTAGCCATTATGGTAACTTAGTTTAAGTTCCTAAACAGCAACCCAGCTTCTGATACATAGTCGCAGCCTTTGAGCTCTCGGCTGCTACGCGGAGGAACTGTGCGACAGCAAAGGCAGGCACCACATGCCCGGACTTGGTCATGGAGACGATCCTCTTGAGCACCTCATCGACCAAGCCATTCTTCAAGAAGCCTTTGATGATCAGGGAGTGGCCACGGGGTGAGAGTTTGAGCCGATCTTTCCGCAAAAGATTCTCGAATTCCTCGACTCTGTCAGGATGGCCTGCAGAGGCAAAGCCTCCAAGTACCACTTCGTACATGGAGCAGCTCCGTGCTAGGCAGAGCCTCTTTTGGTAGACGTTCCACAGGTCCATCATCACCTCCACGTTCCCGGAGCGAGCGACTGTGTCCAAGATCACGGTCCCTGCCCACGAGTTCACCAAGACCTCCTTGTGCAAGCGAAGATGCTCAACGATTTCATCGACAAGCTGTTCGGGCTCCGCATCCACAAAGGCTTGCACTACGGGCTTCAGGAGATCCTTTGGGGTGGGGGCTTGGGCTTGTTCTTGGCGCCATGCCTCCAGGAGCTTCGAAGCCCTACCAGCAGCAGCTTCCGCCTCCATCGTCTTACGCACGGAGGCTCGGAATGTTGGCGGCCCTGCCTTGACTTTGCCCTTCTTGGCCTTACGGAAGGTGTCTGCACGAAGGTAGAAGAAGCCCATGGAAAAGAAGAACAAGAAGGAGAGCTCCACCCATAGGGGAGCCAAGGAGTTGTAGACGGCCTCGAGGGTCTGCGATGCCGTTGACGTAGTGTAGTCCGCCATGATGTCAATCACGGCCACGAAGAAAGACGCTTTTGGTTGGGATTTCTTAGCTGAAGCAGGCGGGCGTACAGCTCCCCTGCTTGAAGTCCACAGAAGACTCGAGTTGTTGCCCAACGGGTGTTTGGGCCAAGTGCGCGTGTCTTGAGCCAGCAGCGAGGGAGCAAGCATAGCATTGTCACCAAGCAAGTCTTGCTAAGAGCAAGTCATAAGTTCAGCTATTACCATCAACATGAAGCAACTTGGTATCACCGGCACTGAGATCTCGACCCAGAAAAGATGCACCAGTCGCACGAGCACCATTACGGCCTCGCAACCTCGAAAAAGCAACAATAGTAGTAACAGGAGTACCGTTGATAATAGTAATAATTACTAGTTCAAGGGCAACAATGCACATCGGAACGTAGCCCCCCGGCCCAGGCCTGGCTGACCGGGTCAGCTCCGCATAGCATGGCCCCTGACAAATGCACCACATAGGGGTGTCCTAAAATATGAGGCTTACCTTACCACCCAAGAAAAAAGACTACGTATAGTATTTGGGAGTCTATATTAGGGTCCCTCTATTTTGGGAAACTACCTGTGACATAGGTCCCAAGAGTAAGTATCATGCAAACTGCAGCTGTATGCCTTGCACTTTGTGCCCCTGGCTGTGTCGAATCTCACGCGCTGCAAAGGCAGAAACTTGTACGAACTACTGCTTGGCCCAAGGCGGACCACAAAGATGTTTGGCTATGTACATTCAGCCCACAGGAGCGGCCTTGGACTTTTGAAAGTCTGTTGCTTTGCTGGATCCGGTGGGCCCATCAATGCTCGTCGCGGAGGCAACAGATGCAGAAATGTCTGCTGAGGAATGAGGGAATACATTATTCGCAGCAATGACTAGAACCTTTTTCAACTCATGTTGCTTCCCTTATTCCTTTTGAAAAACGTTAGACTGCTTCGAGCTTGTCTCACAGGTGGAGGCTCCTAGTCCTCAAACACATCCGAAGAGTCAGAGGACGGAACGTCTTCGCCGGACGATGTGTCCTTCATGTCAGCCCAGTTTATTGCTGAAAAATTGCAGCAATTGCAAAGAAACTTGACAAGTGTCCCCTGGCAAAAGGCCAGACCAGCAAGTGCGAGAATACGATCTACCTCAGAGTAGCCGCAGCCCGGGTGTACAGTAGTAGTTCTTTGGTGCACATACCCTGAAAGGATCTACGCCCCAACCCTCCACATCCCTAAACCCCAACCCCCCCCGGGCCTCATGAATCTGATAATCGACTTCCAAGTGCTCTTCGCCCTCCCCATTGGGATCGCCGCCCTCACCATCATCATCATCCTCATCCTCATCCTCATCCTCCTCGTCATCCTCGTCCTCCAAAGTGGTCCCATGTTGCGAAGGAAACCCCTCAGCCCATGGGCCTCGGAGCACTGACGGGACTGTTTGTGAGCCCTCCAGGTACGCCAGCTGGGCCATTCTCCACATCAGAGGAATGCTGATAGCGTCATCGCTGACATCACTGTCAGACTCATGCTCATTCTCCTGAAGCTCGGCTGCCTCTTGCTCAAGTGCCTCTTGGTAGTGAGATCCCACCTCTGGCTCAAGTGCATCCAGCCGACGTCCCTCTCCCTCACGCTCCTCTTGCTCGCGTCGCTCGCGAGCTTCGCGTTCGGCCCGCTCACGATAGAACCGCTGAGGTGCCATCCTTTGCTCAGGGGTCTCTAGTGATTGGTACCACTCCGAACCAACGCCATCCACGCAGCCCGCCCAGAAATTGGCATAGGTGCCTCTTCTGGGGTGCCAGCCGCCAAAGAGCATTATCACACCATTTGGCAGGGCACAACCTCCGCCGAAAGATCGGGCAGCAGGAAAGCCCTGGCGAGCCCTTAATCGCTTCTGATAGTTGAAGCCTATGGCATTGGAGTGCCCAATGGAACGCTGACCACCACTGATGGCGACCATGGTATTTGTGCCTGTTAAGCGTACAGCTACATGACCACGGCCATTGACTTCGGCTGCCAAGGGCTCACGCTGCCATCGGAATGATGACGAAGCATCTAGGCCTAGAAGCCAGTAAGCGCCAACCTCAGGTTCTGAGAAGTCGTGGCCTCCACGCGGAGGTCCACCGTTGCTGTCGTCACCAGTTCCTCCGCCCACAATTAGAATACCATATTCTCCAGCACCACGCCGAAGCAGCGTACCACTATGGGAGTTTCTGCGTGCTGGCCTCTCTCCCTCAGAGAAGATACCTTCTGTCCAAACGCGTGTCTTAACATCAAAAAGGTCCATGGAATCCGAAACGCAGCCATCAACATTCCCACCAAAAGCGACAACGTAGCCGGAGGGGTACGCGCCCCCTGCAATGCGAGCCGGCACAAAGGTCGCACTGTGGTTTGATCTTGGCACCATTCTACCGGTTGAGGCCCAGCGCGCCGTGATCCGACCCTCCGTAAATGCAATCTCCACAATGCCCCACATGCCGCTCTCACCGAAGTAGCCTCAACAAAGTACTTGCACAATTCATCCTACATCACATCATGCCAGCTATCACGTTTGCTTGCTTCTGAGGCCGCAGCCACCCTGAAGGTATCCTCCAGTCACCAGCACCTGCAAAGTGGAGTCGCCCTCAGCCTCGGTGACGTCCTCACAGTCTTCTAGGACTGTGACCTTGGCCTCGTATGAAGGTGGTGGGCCGTTTCCCTGAATGTGGATCCTCTGGAGCGTGAGCATCCCTGATCCCAAAACGCCGGCGAATAGGTCACCTCAGTGGCCCCAGCTTGCACAACAACCTAAACCAGACGATGAGTAGGAAGCGAGAGACTTCCTGCACCAACGATGCGAAAATATGACATACAAACACGCACGTGATATTACGTGAATACATATATGGAAACGTCTGGACTGACTGCTACAAAGGCAATTGGCATCATCATTTCTCCCAAACAACTCAGGCAAAGGGCACACAAATGCAGAATCATGGAAGATTTTCCAAATGAGCCCTCGGATTTTGGGCTTCATTTATAGTCCCCCTTCAGTACGTAAATAGAATGTGGGGTATCCGGGGATCTTATTATAATATACCTAGACCCATATTCTATCTATTTAAGGTGGACTATATGCCCTTCTTTCTCTGTGCAGCAAGATGTAGCAAGCTGACTCCTTTTGGCGAGGGCATGGTAGGCAAGCCAAACGGTGCATCTGTTCCCCTAAACCCTAAACCCTA